ACTTCTTAAAAACGGAATGATGGCTGCAAATCCATTCCCTTCAAGAAGCCATTGAATGATTTGTATGCAGTCAGCTGGAAGGCTAGAAATAATGCCCATTGAAGCAGTTATCTCTTCATCATCTTTGGATGTTTTAATGATGGATTGCAAGGTTTGCAAGCAACTGCTATCTGCTATTACACTGGCATCTACATTTTCTGTCTAGCAAGATAATAGCTTGGTGGCATTGAGCCTTACTAATATATTATTGTTTTGGCTATGTGGAATCAATGCTTCAATAGCATTACACTGTTTGAGCTTAATATTTTATATCTTCAGTGGAAGTTAGATGGCATAAGGCATAGAAAGCTCGAAGAATACTCGTTGTATGCTTGGAAATGTCAAGTTAACTAAAGAGAATAGCCAAACTATGTCATCATCAGATTTCAAAAGTATTAAAGATTCATCATCTTTCAGATCTACTGCAGATGAAACAATGTTCATAATCATAGTGGCCGCAAGTTCACTTAATATATGATATGTAGAATAGTGGTGGCGACATAAAAGGTGAAGAAGTGGAGATACTGCGCCTTTGCCAATCATTTTCACACCATTTTCAGGTAAGCTTGACAGGCTTTGAAGTGACTTAACAGCCATTGTTTTGATATCTGGATCACTATGTTTAACCAGACGAAGAGGGATGTCCAGCGCACTATCTCTAAAAAGAGCTGCTTTACTTTGACCAGGCAGCTCAATTTCAGCTAAGGTCATCACCATGATCCTCTTCACATCGTCATTTCCTGATCCAAGACATCGGAATAGTGGCTTAAAATAGTTTGCCTTTGCCATTTTCACAACATTTTCATCGAGATAAGAAAGATTCTCCAATAGTTGTGTCGCATTACTTGCAGCCTGATTACCATTATTCGTAGAATTCACCAAAAGAAAAATGCAGCCACGGGCCTTGCCAATCTTATTGTGAATCAGCTCAGTTCTTGATAACTCCTGCGAAAGTGCCACAGCCAATTTACGTTCCTCACTATGTCTTCCAAGAGACATCACAACAAATTCAATTAACTTATCGATACCGACAAGTTGTTTCTTTGTATCATTGCTCTCCTTACTAGGAATATAGGACAAACAGAGCATGACACCTGATCTCCAAACTCTTTCAAGCAAACCAACATGAACAGGTAGATAGTTCCAAAAAACAATCCAATCATGATGAGAGTTCTCTTTGCAGAACTCCAGTCGGTCAAGAGAATGGAGGTGCATGTAGCACCTCCTACTCATCATTAGATTCAAACTTAGTTTTGACGTTGGCAATGGTGATGAATGTGCTTCTTTCCCTCCACTCTTCAATGGATTTCTTCAAAGTGTAGTTGGACGCAGATTCATTGTGGAATTGCAGGTGACGACATCGGTCCCGCGGCCGGAAGCACATGATCAGGTCTGGGTCGCGCTAGATGGGGTCAGAATCACTCTAGAGCGAATCAGAATCGCTGGCTGGTCGCGAGACGAAGCAGGATTGTGGGTTGGTCGTGAGACGAAGCATAGGCGGAATTGGGGTCGAGCTGTGGGAGAGCGGTTTGGATGCTAGCCGTGGAATTGTGCGTCACATGTGTGGCGGGAGCAGGATGATCGGGCTCGATTTAGGTGAAGTCGCGATCATATGCGGAAACGAAGGAGTTCGATTTGATGAGCGGTGTCACGCAGAAGTTGCCAACGGAGGTGGAGGTGGGAGTGACGGAGCCGAGAGTGGCAAGTCGTGCGGGAGCGGATCTGATCGGGATATGGCTTGCTGGAGTGGAGGAGAGTCGCGGACGACAGCCATGGAATGGTTGCGGACTGCATGGTCGGGCAGAGGATCTCGCCATTAGAGTGGAAGTTAGAGCGAAGGATAGTCTAATTGCAGATCTATTTGCGATCGCATGAAGCATTGGCGGAGGGCCGCTGGTCGGGCTACGAATCTTGCCATTGGAGTGGAAGTTGGAGCGGAGAATAGTCATCGACCGCCCATCTTCTTGGGCGTTCATCGTCATCGACCGCCCATTTTATTCGGCATCGATCTTCGTCGATCGCCCATTTTCTTCAACTTCGATCATTATCCACCCATTTTCTTCAACTTCGATCATCGTCCACCCATTTTCTTCGGCAACCCGTCATTCTTCACAAGCTCCAGGCTATGATACAAACTGATGTAGTGGATCGGCGGAAGAAACAGATCTGCTATAAGGAACATCCAATCTAGGGAACAAACACGAGCTCTAAGGCTTAAAAGATCATATAATATTTATCTATCCCCTCTTCCTCACAACATTTGTATATATAATTGTAATGGATGTTCTAGAAAACAAAGAGGTAAAACCACAAAAGGCAAACTAAAGAAGTGGAGCTAACATGAACTACAGTAAAGATAAGATATTCCCTAAGGTATAAAATAACTATGATGCACCGCATCACCACGTTTGGTTGGTATTAAGGTGGACAAACATTTTTAAGTACTAGAAATCATGCTTTGATGCATTCACATGTTTGGACTTCAATCACTCATTTACTTTGTTTACTTCAATTTTATGCCGGAGATCAGATGATGTAGAACAATCATGGGAAGATGAGATGCTTAAGGACGCTTGCACGTTTAGTTTTAAAGAACAATAATAAGCAAGATCTCATGTTGGTTTGAACGATAAAATGAAATATTAAAGTGATAAATAAAGTTGGTTAAATTACGTGTATAGAAGTTAAGAGCATAAAAATCAATCAATTTAATCCACTTTTGCATTTGTGAATGGTCTCAACAATAAATCCCTTCGTTAACATTAAGACTAGCTACTATAATGAACCCTTCACTCAACTCTTCCTATTACTAGGCTTTAGCGGAGGGACCAACAACATCTTTGTGAATCAAAATATAACCACATGGGAGAAATAAACTAAGAGGCTAAAAGAGTCGGAGGTCGAGTTTATCCGAAGTATGAAGTATACGAGGCTCTGGTGGTCATAGGAAGGCTTGGAAGGAGGTAGGTGGCATCCACGAACCTTCTTGAAGGTGTGATCAGCAATCTGACGCGTGGACGGGGACTTATCCGATCAGTTGGACAGCAAGTACACGTTCCGGATCTTCTAAACAGCAGGTTGCAGGTGCTTGATACGTGAAACAACAACAAGGAAGATGTCTGGACAGTAAGGGGGTTGAGTTTTGGGGCTGACTAGCTGGTGGGGATGTGCAGAATTCAGTGGACAACAGTTTACCAATTCTTTGAACTTCTGGACAGCAATCCCGTTAGGAAGATTTTAGGCTCTCTTGTTCCGTTTGGAGAAAAGAGAGAGGTCTAAGGGCTAATTCAAATCAGCTATAATTTGAATTTCAATTGGGCATAATTTGGGGGATTGAATGATAATTGATTGAGGCAAGAATTAAGGAGAAATTAATGAGGGGTAGGCCGGCCATGAGAGAGAGGGGGAAATTTATGTCTAAATTCGTTGTATGTGGTCCACGGCATTAATGACGATGGGGGATTAAAATCTGAAATTAATCTCAGATTTTATTAGATTGAATTGCTTTCCTAAATGGCTTGGGCTAACTGGAAATAAATTTGAAATTCAAATCAATTCGATTTGAATTTGAATTCTTCCCAAAAATGCTATGGCCAAATATGGAAGGTATTGAATGAGAAATTTAATGTGGGGATCCAATGTGAGGAGAGGTGGTGAGGCCGGCGGTGAGGAAATTAATTTGAAATTTGAATTCAAATTAAGTTGTAATCAATGCCTTAATTAATGGGCTTGAATGGGGCTCCACTCATGGTGAGGCCGGCAGCATGTAGAGAGAGGGGAGGAGTGTGGGAGCCATTGAGGAATTTCCAAATTAGCAAATAGGATTTAGGAAAGCTTATGATGAAATCCATTTGAATTTGAATTTCATCATGATGCGGATTTAAGTACTTTCCTAATTAGGAATTTCCAAAATTGGAAAAGTTTTGAAATTCAAAATTTGAATTTCAAATTGACTCCAATTTTCCCTCTCAAACCCAACTAAATTTGGAAGATAGCATGATGATTGAGATCATCATCCCAATGGAAAAGGGGTCTTGGTGGGGGCGGCGGCAAGAGGAAGATGCGGGTTTGGCTTTGGGTGGAGGTGGCTAGGAGCTAGGCCGGCGGGTGGAAATGTGGAGGGGGAATTTGGTGGGGATCAAGGGGTATTTTGGTGGCGGAATGAAAGTGGAGGGAATTCAATGCAAGAAAAAAATTAAAAGAAAAAGAAAGATAAGAAAACCGCGAACCTTGGAATCCACCAAGATTGACGGGTATTGCTTTTGCCCCACTTGGGCCTCTCCTCTCACGAACTCACTAAGAGATCATCCAAAGAAAGAAAACCTAGAACTCACAAAGAGATCCATAAGCACAAGCTGAAAATTTCATATTAATCATCATTAGCCCTTCTCCAATAAGAGGAGGGATTTAAATGACAAATATAATAAGGGAAAATAAAAGACAACAATGCCCTCGGGGCTTACAAAGAACTAATCCCTTAAGCAAGGGCTTAAATGAAAAAAAAAAATAGTAAATAAATAAATGCATCACATATAAATGAAATAAAAAAGGCGTCATCATAGCCATCGATCATCGGCCACGTCCCTGATGGAACATTAAGGGTCTGATGTCCGCATCATCACACCTCCTTGAGCTTAACAAATTTGAGATCACACATTTCTAACGGATAGTCACTAATCGGAGAACACATAATACTAAAAGAGTTGGAGGAGAGAATCTACAATCTTTCAGTTCAGTGGTTTATCACACAATATTCTGAATCAGTTCCATTGCCATATGCTTCTTAACTAATAGGTTGATGTTACTTACTACTTGGTATTTTGCACTATAGCATTTTAGCTGCAGCTTTTCACGAATCTTATCATTCGGTTGAACTTCGTATTAGTTATCTCAACTCACCTATTCATACATACAACAAAATGCATTTTTCTATGTATATGCTAACTTAGTTTGCTATGCAGATGAATTGCGAATGGCCGTCAAGGAGGTGATGTGCGACAATGGTGAAGAACGACTTCAATATGAAGAAGCACTTGTAGCAATTACTATAGACGAGTCCTTAAAACGGTAGGTTGAAACAGTCGGAATGCTCTAGTGTTTATACATGTTTTGAAGATTACTTTCTATGACGTTTTGTTCAACTTTTATAATGCAGATATTGCCAACGGATTGGACGATCTGGCTTCTGGGGTGGAGAGTCAGAGCTATTGGTAAATATATTCTATATATACATATATATATATATTTTACTCATTTTGGGTTTAATCTCAAAAGACATTTTGTAGAAAAGTTCATACATTTTCCTGATTGTTTGGAGCTTATGCAATTTTTTCTGGGTGACTAGAGAAGTAATTTTGTTGCGGTAATTAATAATTACCAAAAATGAATACAATCTGTGGATATAATCATATAACCAGTACAAGGATAGATCAAACTGATTTTGCAGACATAAATGCTGATTTTTCTTCTGCCAAACAGTTCAAGCTTATTGATGAAAATCTCATTGTTTACATTCAAAAGAAATGTTAAGCAAATAAATAAATGGCCAAGCAAAGTTTATTTAGTTTTATTATTTGGTAGTTAATTTATTGTTTAAATTTTAGTTATTTGGACATGATTAAATTGTTTAAATGTTTTCTAATTTGGACGGCTTCTTATTTGGTTTAAGTGGCTTGGCTCTATCCTAAGCTGTAATTTCAGTCCCTATCTCGGTGTCACCTTTTGAGATCTTTTATCCGGTTCTTCTAGGAACAGTCATGTGGGCACACCTACCTCCAGCTAAATTTCAAGAAGCAGCATCGTAGAAAGTTAATTAAGCTATATATATAATTAAGGAAAAATTTATGCCAAAATATTTTACATTAAAAAAAAATTTGCGTTTTTTAAGAAAACTATTTTTTTTTTTTTGTGTTTTCTTAAGAAAACTCAAAATTTTATATGCATTTTGTCACGAGAATGCTATGCAAATTTGCTGCGCGATCACAGGCTCTTTATTTCGATTGAGGAATACAAATTTAATTTGCGTTTACTATAGAAAATGCAAATTTATCTTCTGTCACGAGTGGTCGTTTTGGGTGCTATAAGTAGCCCCTTATGTCAGTCATTTCCTCAATACTTAGGGTCAACAGAGTTAGTAGAGCGAGCTGTAGTGGTACTAGTGATTCTGCATTCCTTTTTAAAGTGTTTTAGAGGTAATTCGTTAATTTTGTATTTATTTGAAGTTTTAAAGTAATTATTTACTAAATTATCTTTTAATTTTTTATTTTTTTTTCGTTTTCTTATTTACTTAATTTTTCATAGCCTGTTCATTCCTTTTTTTTTTCAATTTTAATAAATAAAGCGATAGTTTAGTAAGTCAATTTTCTATTTCATTTAATTTTTTATTAAATTGCTATTTAATTTTTTCCCTTTTCAAGGTTTTATTAAATTTTTTTATCCTTATCATTTTTATTTTCTAACATTAATTTTGATTTTGGGGGTGTTTATTACCTTGCAAAATTTGAGCAGAATTTTAGACGAATTTTGCATAAAAATCCGGCGAAACAGAATAAATAAAAAAATTGAAATCATGCTGAATCTTTATCCTTTTTCTCCCCGGCTTAGTCTTTTGAATTGAACAATGTAATATTAAGATGACGCTTATAACTTTTCCTAATGTGTTACATTTTTTGGCATTATAGAGTATTAATTTGTCATTGAAAATTAGAAAAATGGAGAGAAGTTTAAAAAATGAGTTAAAAATTTATCTAAATTAATTGAATGGCATGGAATTAAAAAATACTTAGTTAATTACATTTTTTTTTTGCTTGATTAATTTTCTACAATACTTCTTAAAATTTTCGATGCAAGTATTGGAGGAATTTTAAGCCAGAAGGGGCATCCAATTTGCATTCATTATTTAGATATTGAATGTAGCAAAACAAAGATATTCATATTATGATAGAGAGTTTTATGTTGTTTTACAAACTTTTCTTTATTGATGATGTTATTTTTGAAATATTTGAGTTCCCAAAAGAAGTTGTGATTTAGACATGCTAATTGGATTGGGTGTTTAGATGAATAATCTTCTGTTTCTAAACAATTGGCTGATATGGAGAATTTTATATGCAGTGTACATTAAAATGATTGGCTTTGCTCAATAAAAAAGATTATGCCACTTGTAAGGACTTTAGTGTGATTTATCATAATTTAAAAAACAATTCATCAATTCTTAAGAATGGTTATATGATTAAAGATGATTATTTATTCACGATACTCATTTTTATATTCTTAATTTATATTTGAGGAATTTTCTTATTTTAGTGTTATATGCTGGGGTGTTGCTACCTATTTCGAAAGTGATAAGGATATAATAATGTCTGTCAGATATTACTTGTCAAGTTTAAAGAGAGAGGTTTCACATTTGTTTCACCATGTGGGATTTGTTAGTTTGTGAAGGGTAGGAGGAACACAACATAGGGCTTTATACACTTCTCCCTATTTTGTATAAAATTTGTTGAAACCTTAGTATTATTTTGCATTATGTTTACCGGGAAATTTGAGAATGCATGATTCTATTTTTATAATGATAGTTCTTTTTTTCCCAAAATTGTTAATTTCATATCATGCCATAAAATTATTAATGAATCTCACATTGTTAAATTTGCTTTTAATAATTTGCTTTAGTTCATAGGTTGCCTAAAGCTAATGTTGGGATGTAAAATTCATTGAGTTATTTCTTGAAACATGGGAACACAACTACTTATCAGTCATAAATTCATGAACAGACTTGAAGTTTTAGTGTGAGTTTGGGTGATCTATTACATTGCTTGCTAAAAGACCATGCATCTAGCTTAGATTTGATATAAGTTATGGTTTAGTTTCTACAATTCATCTGTCAATAGATCTATTAGTATGACTACAGTTTAGATTATCACAAGATTTCAACTTAAAAAGCCTATGAATTTTGTTAAGCTTCATATTGAGTATAGGCCTAATGATGTAGGACTACGTATGAATGTGATGATTTGTAAGATCTTGTACAACTTTTGATTAGAGAATAATGAAGAAAACAACAAGCACTTAAAAACGACGAATTAAAACGAGAGAGGGATCACACCCGCTTAGGCTAAGTCACATAACCAGAGATTTGAAACTTTAAAATAAATTAGAAAACAACATCATGTCGGAATAGTAGTTTCAGTAAAAATCCCTAGTCTAACAATAAGAATTAGTAAGCAAAGAAGTACACTTAAAAACCTACGTTTACTAAGCTTAGCAGCAGCATGCGACAATTGGCCTTCGCGATTACAGTCAAACCACAAGAAAAATTAGACTCATGAAATAAGAGAAGAGGGAGAGTGCAAAACCTTTGTTAAGGACCGGCGACAAGCCTCCACTCGACGATCTCCATTTGCTTGTCAATAGCCTCATCCAAATAGTCCAAGATACGCTCTAGGTAGTCCTCAACTGTGTGATCGATCCTCGGGTTGACGTCAAAGAAAGTTGAATGGAGAATGTGCATGAATCCGTGTTCGTCGTAAGCAATCCTGTAGTCCGTCTCCGGATCAGCCATCCATGCGAAAAGCCGCTGTTTTAACTGTGAGTAGTGCTGGATGATAAGGAGAGACTTCTCCGAAGGTGCTACAGTGAAACGAGTCCAGCAGAAACTGATGGACAGCAAGCTGCCCCTTTTATGTAGCAGGTATGAAGCCTCTGGCTGATGAGAATCCAAGAACCATTGCAGGAATTTTCTGGCAGCAGCTTTGGAGAGCAGGAAATCCAACGTGGGATAGGGTTTGGGAGGGGTTTGTAATGGAAAAACAACATAGGAGCCTTGGGGGAGATTTCGGCCAGCAGGGGGGAGAGCTTGAGGTTAATTCCAACTTGGGAGGAGTGGTTTTTGGAAAGGTTTAAGACGGTGGGAACAAGGGGAATTTCAGCCAAAAGAAAAGGAGGAGTTTTGAATTGTTTCCAAATGGCGTGAAGTGATTTCAGGAAACAATTTCAAAAGAGATCTCTATGTGGCCGACGGCATAGGGAGTAGGAGGAGGGAATTGGGGAGGCATTCAATGCTTTATTAAATTAAGAAATTAAATTTAGAATGAAAGATTTCATCAAATTTAATTTGAAATTTAAATAAGCTATGAATTAGGAAGTTACCAAAAAAAAGAGTATATTATACGTAACTATTTTAAATTCAAATGAATTTGAATTTACTCATGAATGGAGTTACCTAAAATATGAGAGGTTAATTTAGGAAAGGTTTAATGGCAAGTTGATGATGGTGGGGAGGACCAAGAGGAGAGGCCGGTGGTTGGGGTTTGATCGTGGGTGGCTTGGTGGTGGAGGAAGTTGGTTTTAGCCAATGGGTGGAGTGGGGGTTAGGGTGGCCTGCGACTTAGGGGTTTCGGGGAGGTTCTAGGCCGGCGGTTAGTGGAAGAGGGGAAGAGAAAATAATATAGGGAAGTAAAACCACGAACCCGACTTATCTAGGTTGGTGGGTGATGCACAATTCTTCCCTCTTCTAGGGATCTCACTCCACTCTCAAGCTCTCATGAGAACTCCAAACAAAGTGAAGAAAATTTGTGATCAATCATTCATTACCTCAAAAAAATAAAGCAAAGGGCTATAAATAGCCTAGTACATGAGACTCAAGAAATAAAAGATGAAAATGCCCTCGGGGCTTACATACGACATCCCTCACTAAAAGGGTACAACTGGAAATTTCATAAAACAAATACACTACACTGAAAATAAGAAAATATATAAATAAGAAAATAACATAAATAAATCAAAAATACAATGACTCGATCGTGGCCATAGATCAGCAGCCACGCCTCTAATAAACCTTTCATGCTCTGATGTCCCCATCACCTAATCTGCTTGCATAATCACTCAAACAATGTATGCATGAATTGCATTGACATATTTGTTGAAATTTGATGACCAATGATAGGATTTGATGACCAAAGCAGCACACAACAATATTAAAAATAACAAACTTACTTCAAATATATCTAGAAATAACACCAAGGGGGATGTAATTATTAATTTCCAAGCAAAGAAAAACAAGATACAAGTTGATTCACTGTTCGAGAGGTGAATCATCTCTCCCACAATTCCTAGCAGACACTACGAACCCAAAAACTCCTAAAAAATTGCTACAGCAAATAAAATTCAAACATAAACCCTTAACCCCCCACAATCTCCCCCATTAAACATCCCTAAATCCTCTAATAAATGCCCCTTACTTCTTCCCCAAAGAGTTCCTCCCAAAACCTCTTCTCCTATAGATGATAAAGAAGGTCATGGGCCCCACATGGGCACTTGGGCAGCTGTCCACCTTGGCAATTGTGCTGCCAGCTGCTACATCAATGCTCCCCTCTAAAAAAGTCGCATTGTCCTCAAGGTGGAAAGAGAGAAGCTACTTTTAGATGGTACTGTAGGGCTCTCATATCGCCTCATACTTCTTGATCTCTTGTCTCCTTGGCGCAACCCTTTCACCTCTAGTGGTTCTAACAGCACCATCAATATCCTCTAATAGTGTGGCCGGTAGTGCGGGCGAGGGTGTGTGGTTTCCATTGGCTTGTCTCAGTTGCGATACATGAAATATGAGATGGATGGCTGAGGTCGGTGCAACTGTAGGCTATATGCCACTACGCCAATGCGCTCCACTACCCCATTGGGCCCAAAATAGCTAGGGGGAGCTTCTCATTCCTTCTTTGAGTCAAATTCTTCTATCTATTTGGTCGGATCTTCAGATAAATCATATTCCCTATCTCAAACTTCACGTCTCTCCTGTGTCAATCTGCCTGCTTCTTCATGATTTGCTATCCTATACGTAGACGCTCCTTCAATTATGCCAAAATATGATCACTTTTTCCCAAATACTGCTTTACTGATGATACTGATGTGTTGTTATGTGGCTTATGCCCATAATATATTAGATGAGGGGATCTGATGCAGGCAAGCCGTACCCCCCAGTCATGTTGCTTCAATTGTAATTTTCATATTTTTGGCCATTGTGACTTTCCGATGATGTTTTGTATGAGAAGGAAATCTGTTCTTTTTTTTTTTTTTGGTTTACATGGCTTCTCATTCTATTTAAGTGGCTTGGGTCTATCCTAAGTTGCAATTTTAATCATTATTGACCATTTTGTGGGTATTTCTTTTTTGTGACATCTGTGCATAATTTTTGTGATTTTTATTCGGGTCTTTTGCATGTGCGCCTATCATTTCTCTAATTTTGGTTACATTCTGATTTTCTTAGACCTCTTGGGAATTTCTTTGGCAGTTTGGCTCCTGTAGAATGCGGTGATTCCTTTGTTGCCTACTATGGTGTTTCCTATGTATCTGGCTTCTTGTCGGCTTTTTTTTTCATGTGTTTTTTTAAGCGTGCAATTTACTTTTAAATTATTGATGTGTGGCCTTATCATTCTTGAGAATTAATCATCTTTATGATATGATATCTATACATAGTTAGTTCGGGGATGTAATTAAACAAAATTTGATTCAACGAAATTTTGATTCTAGTTCAATCTTGGTGTTTTTTTTATGCATGATTTCTTTGAGTGCGGTACAAGTTTGACTATCTAATTTTAAGCAAAGTCATCTCCTTATTTTGACATGAGGCATGAATTTTCTTCACTTTGGTTATATCTTTTCTTTATCTGATTTCTTCTCAATATCTTCTTATAGTTTTAGTATAGTTCTTAATTTTACTTTGATACGATTGGAGTTTTAATTGCATCAGAAAACATTCAATTGCTTGTTGATTTTATTGGTTTGAATTTTAATTCAATCTTTTTTGACTTATTGTTTCATTGCATTATCATTTGGATTCTAAATCTCATAGTTTTTTGTTTGCATCTCAATAAAGTATTTTTTGCATATTTAGTGGTCCTTAATTTAATAAGCTTAATTTCTTCTGCGCAATTACACTCATTGCATCATTCTAGTTACATCAGGAAATTTGAAACATAAATTTTCATGCATCACCTGTGCATTTATCAAACCAATGAGATATGTTGATCATCCTCCCTCCAACTTTAATAAGAGCTAAATGATATTATATATTCGTTGAGAATGACCGTGCAATTTTGTTGTCATTGATTGGAAGTTTCAGCTTATCAACTTCAAAGAAAACAGTATGTGCAGATCATAATTTAATATTGGTTTCGTTGCACCTAATTAAAAAAAATGCACTTCGTATATTAGTGATGAAACACTCATAATTGGATTTTCCAATTCTCAAGTTCTAATAATTCCAGCTGCATCTACTTGAAATTCCAACCAATTTGCAGCCTCATTTTTTTATGATAAAAAATTTCTTCAATTACTGCTGGCATTGGAGCTTCCTATTTTGCTGTTTTTATTCATCTGTGTATTGTGTATACTTTATGTTAAAGTTGTCCTGATAAGTCTCATTTTCTGACCATTATAACATTCTCAGGTCCTGTCAAGGCTATGCCATCAGCCAATCGTGGTGTATATACCTGTACATGAGGTCAGTTTCCATCTTGATTCATAATCTGCATGGTGAGATTAATTGCATAAACATAAATTTCATGCTATTTTGCCCAGGAATGAAATGAAGTAGGTCATCTTCACGCTTTTTCAAAAAAATTTTTTTTTTTGGAAATCCCTCGGAAAGTCCTACGCGTTCCATAAAATAATAAATACAGGTCCTTAAAGAACCACAAAGCTCTCTAGAAATACAGACATCGAAGAAAAACCTACGAGTCAGTGGTCCTACCTATTACAATAAACCAAAATTAAAAGACAAACAAAAAAGGGCCTAACAAAGCAACCAGCCAAAAGTGTTGTACCAGCAACCAGTACAATGCACAGCCGAGCACAGAGTTGCAGAAGAGAGAGATCCAGCTCGCTGCATAAGTGCCGCAGAAAACACGGGGGAAGAAAGTAAAAGAGGCCAAAAAATGCTCAACCAACCCAGCACCGCAGGATGTACTCCCATTACGTCCCCTGAGCACAACCAAAACAATATGCAACATGCCATGCAAGCATGAAAAGGGAACCACAACAAAACGAATAAGAAAAGAACCAATTCAACTAGCAATCGAACACACCAAACAACCAACCAACGGGAAACAAAAGCCACAGACCCCAAACAGACACAATGAAGACAAATGAAAAGTGAAAGGCCCAACAACAAAACCTCCAAGATAACCAACAATTACTTATTCCTCGATTTACGCCTTCGACGATTGCCACCACCATGAGAAAAAAACTTTTTTAACAATACAACTAACATTCAAATTATACAACTCATAAAAAGCATCCTCCGGCTCTTTAAATTCATCCATCCCCAACATCTCTGCAAGGGGAAGAAGTCAGGTTCTAAACCCTAAATGACTACACGAGTACTAAATTATTTATGTACATTCCATGAAAGTTGTAATTTTGATAAATTTTTTTGCTTGGTTGATAATTTATATTACTTTTTTGAAGATTACCCACTCTTTGATTTTGAAAGATTTGAATATGTTAAATGAAAATTATTTGGTCATGCTCAATTGTTTTGGCGAAGTATTGCAAATGAAACTATACTTGCATTAGCTAATTTAAAGCATAAACTTAAAGAGGATTATTTGTCATGTAATAAATATTGGGATCAGCTACTTGAAAATTGTAAGCATTGTGAATAAGGTTAATATGATATGCATGAATATTATCATAGGCTTAGAAGTCCTGCATTTAAAGATCCTATGCCTCTCGTTTATTTTGTTACTATTATTTATTTCATTGAAGGTCTTATCTAAGATATTTGAAACAAATTGAGTTACAGTATACCAAAAATAGTACTTGAGTGATTAATTAGATCTTTGGATGTTCAGGCACATTATCAATGTTTTGTTGGCATTGTCACACTTGTGATTAAAAACACTTAGAGAAAATTCATTACCTTCTCCTTCAAAGCTTGTTGAAAGTACGCAGACTCAAAATTCATGTGTGGTCAATCAAATCTTGCTGAAGAAATCATAGTTCTGAGCCTCTATGAGGAATTGAACTTACTATTAGATGTTAACTTGAACAAATTTTGCATATTGTAGTTGAATAGTTGATTGATCAAACTTATGTAGTGATTATTGAATATGGAAGTAAACAAATTATGCCTAAATCTGTTAAATCAATCGAACAAGTTTATTTAACTATTAATGAAAATTATTTCTACCTATCAAATTAACAGTTATTTTATTTTTAGTTCTTGATTTCATTAGATATAAATTCATTCCGATTGACTTAGTAGAAAATGAAATTACTTCAATATTTTGATGAATTTGCTAATGGTGAAAGCACAAAGAAACGTTAATTTTATATTTTCGTCGAATCTAAAAATGTATCAATTATTTGGGTAGGCTTTCCATAATGAGATAGTTGATTTATATTGGCATTTCATAGTCGTGTGCTGTGCATATTTTCAATTATCTTTGTCATATCATATGTATAATTAAGGCATAAATCATTGTCAGTATTCTTTCAATATATATATTGGGTTTCTAATAGTTTCATTATTTATTTTCTACTGATTAATCCTTACTGTTGGTTGACAGCACTCAGCAGCTACTGGAAGCAATGGTTTCATTCCTATTGCTGAATACGGTTCTGAGTTCAAGAAGCCTAAGAAAGGGAAGGCAAGGATGGCAGTGAGATTACTATACAGCAGCAACAACCATTATGATCTACTCATATGAGAAATGCAGAATATATTTGTATTTGACGTCCAATTCTTTCCAAGTATAATTGAGCGACGAACAGAATGCATTTATCTCTTGTATTTGAGAAGTTGCCTAAATGAAGCAGTGCTTGTCTCTTGTGTTTGAGAACTTTCCTTTCCTATATTTGCTGCAAGCTGCAATCCGCAAGATCCAGGAATAGTTGGATGAGATATATTTTCTCCGTACAGTCTCTGGAATGTCCGGAGGCGAATCAGGATGCGTTGCATCGTCCAATATACAACAAAATGGTGATGTGACACATCCTGATTCGCCTATGACTGACCGGTGACCGCACGTAATAATTTATACCTCACTCCATGTATGCTTGAGAATAGGAAAAAAATGGGTTTGTTTTGCACTTCTAAATAGAAAAGAGTTCATATGTATGGAATATACCTAATTATTGTTATAAGAAGTATGCTCGCAGCACATGCATAGGATTTTGGCTTTTGGAAAGGATTTTGAGCTTTATGTATATGGCTCTGAAGACTCGTTAACAATTTTTTAGGCTCAGTTTTTTAAGTTTCTCGCCTGGCTATCAGAAGAGCTGGTTGCAGATTCATTCTTAAGGGTTTAGATGTTGGAAGAAACTAGAGTTTTGGTCTATCATTAGCAGGCCATCTGAATTTTTTTTATTTTTCTTCTTTATGAGCGTTGATGTTCTCGAATTTTTTGGGAGCTAACCAATTGGACATTTGAGGATGTTGGCAATTCCAGATTTTGAGAAAGGAAGAAGTAGGATTACAAGAAGGATATTTCATTCTAGTACAATTAAATTGTAAAGACTCTAGAATTTATTAATCAATCATTAACTACACAATATTCACTACTTACAGAAAACCATGACTTATAATGGCTTACTAATTCAATTCTAAATTATCTATTACAATTATTAAATTTTTTTCAATTATTGCATCAAAATCTCTCCTGCTCTCTTTCATAAAATGGATGCAGCCTAGCATAGACTATATTCGTGTAATATCTAAGAATATTAGATTGTAGAATGAGAGGTTCGATGAGGGGGGAAAAATGGAAGCTTTGCCGGCTATAATTATCAAGTCTAATTTTTTACTTGCATTTATCCTCGCCTTCCCTCGTACCTCGCCTAACCATGCAGGCCAGCTTGATAACCTCTTCTCCTTCTTCTTCATCTGCCGTCAACTTTCTCCTCGACAAAGGGCCTAATCCAATTACTCGGCTACCCTTTTGCTTGTTCTCCTGCCGGAAGAAACTCTCCGGCAGCGGCCAGAGGAGCCTGGTTGTCGCTAGGGCGAATAAGAGGAAGGAGAAGCCCGACTCCCACAGCTTCATTCCGAAGCCTGATGAAGCAACTGGACCTTTCCCGGAAGCCGTACTGTTAAAAAAGGTATGAATTTTGAAATACCTCGGCGTCTTCTATTGCAGTTTTGCCGATCATTTAAACTCGGCGATAAGAGTGGTAGAAGGCTTTAATTTGTTCTTTAGTACTCCTTTCTGTTTATTTTGCTAATTCATAATTTTCTTTTACAAGTTAGGCGGTATAATTTATTTTGGGAGAACATCAAACTGTTCTGGTGTTATGCTGTATTACTGGTAGTGTAGTTTCTCTATTCTTTTTTTATTTGGTTTCAAGCATTGTTCCTATAAAGTTTAACTCGTGAGCTTTTTTATTTATTTATTTATTTATTGAATTAGTAAATTATTTGTCCTGTTTTTTCAAGTTTTTTTAGCATGCGAGCCTCAATTTTCTTTAGTAATGATACGGATCCTCCTCCTCCTCCTCACGATAACAACCACACGAGCGTGGCGTAAGGGCCCGGAACGGTGGTTTGGAAGGTCGAACCAAGATTGTAGGCTAGTTGTGGGCAGTTGGTTAACTTCTTATAGTGGATAGTTGAGTAAACCTTTTAAGTGGGTGGGAAGTTATTTTCTGTAAGTGGGAAATGTGGAATGTAAGTAATGTGCTAGAAAGGTTATAAAAGGGATTATGATTGTAAGCAGGATTTTTATGAATGCAAAGTTTCTCGTCCTTCTCCGTCTTCTCCTTGTTTTGTTCTTCCTTCTTCCCCAACCAACCAAACTCATATAAGGAAAGCTTTGAATGCCTAAACTAGGCGCTGTAAACTGTCATTACCAAGCTCCAAGCCCAACAATCCTCTCAAAGCCCTCATTGTGAACATGTCTGGTGAATTCCTTCAACACGAGGGAATCGATGCAATCACTACTCGGTAGCACTCAAATGCCTGTTTAGAACCATCACACCACCTCAAATTGTTATTTCCAAAATGAAATGGCTAGGACCTGACCGGGTGGAATCGAGCAACACTCTGAATTCAAAAAACATTCACCCAAACCAACAAATGCAGCTTGCCTCCTTCCAAGGAAAATGCAGATCATTGAATCATCTTGCAACCCCACTCTGAGCCAGTAAACATACGACCTTATCACTACCCCTTTTACCAAAAGACAGTGTTCAAATAGACGGTGAAACAAATGATGCACTTGGGATTTATTTGACCAATACTAACCCATTCTTATCCCCCAGCCTCTTGATCAAGAAGATCGATGGCTTCTGTACCTTGAACAACTTCCCAGTCAAGGATAAATGCCCAATTCACATCATCAATGAACTCCCGGATGAGCTGCACAACACTAGATTCTTCTCCAATCTTGTCTTAGAAGCCAAGTACCATAAATTTTGAAATTGTTTTTTGAACACACATAGGACATTATGAGTTCCTATTAAGGCCTTTCAGCCTCACTAATGCCTCAACAACCTTCTAGAGCCTCATGAATGATGCATTATGACTTCTTCACCAGTCTTCCTTTTTTTTTGATGATATCCTCATCTACCCACCTACGTGAGAAGAACACCTTGGGAACCTCTACTTTATATTACTTCTTTTAGACGCCAACCAATTGTTTTCTAAGTAATCCAAATGTCGGTTTGGGGTCTTGCAATTGGACTACTTTAAACATCATTTCAAAAGGAGTGGATGTCCTCCCAGCCAAAATCAAGGCAGTGCTCAAATGGCCCACCCTAACAACGTCCAAATGGTGCGAGTTTCTCAACCTCGCAGGTTGTTACCAAAAATTTATTTGAAATTTTAGCATGCTTGGAAAAGACAGGTTCTTATGGGATTTCGACAACTCAAAGAAGCATTAGCCTCACATTCTTGATTCCATCTTGCCGAAGAATCGATGAAAAAACATGTTACATATGTTACATTGAATGACTACATCGACAACCAAGGCCTTCACCTATCCCACCGTTGGAGTGTTAGGATGATCGCCTATTCCCTACCAAAGCCTCACTTGCTTCTAATACCTCGCCCACCAAGAAGCATGTGAACACACAACGCCATCTAAGGGACTCTGTCATTATTCTGATGAGAAATATGTATCCATCCATAAATGCAAACATCCCCATTTATTCATGCTTGAAGATATTCCCCCAACCCATGACCAGGATCCCTCCAAAACGACAAAATCGGTAAGTCAGGAGCCGTTGCCAAAGATTTCTTTCCCTGCTATTGTTGAAACCAACAACCCTCAAGCATTGCAAGTTTGGGACTTGGATGATTAGGAAAGAGGGAGATTACCTACTCATCCATGGTGGTAGTACTCAATCCCGGACTTGGAGGCTTGCTTCAAACTAGAGAACTAGTCACGCCTCCTGGAATTTTATCAAATGAGTTGTTGCTCACATGCTTAAAGATGACAAATGCTCAAAAAGAATATGTAGTACCTAGAGTCATTTAGATCTAAGTCACCTTAGACAATCATTCTTATGCGGCAACAAAATTTTGAAATTTATAATTTGTACCTTTTTTTTTTGGCTTGGTCTTGAAACATGATGCATAAATATAATCTACTGTTGCATGCCATATGATGCCTCTCGTTATTTCTGTTTTAGGATTATGATAATTTTATGAGCAATGTACATTTATTTTTAACATAACTAGTAAGAAAGAGGGAGAGAGGAATGGAGGAATGAGAGGGTAAGAACATGAGAGAGAGAGAGAGAGAGGAATATCATTAGAGATATTTTTAGTTATTTTATTTGGGATTGAGGTTTATTTAATTGGAGATTGTGATGCTCTTGGTTTTCAGAGTTAGTGGACTTCAATATAAAATCGTCCAAAATCATGGGCATGTCGCAGATGACCTAAGCTTCAGTAGTTGTTAGTAATATGTTTTAAAGTTTTTGAGCAAAACATGTATTCCTTTTCTAATTTATGAAAAATTTGTCGGTGATTTACTTGTTCTGCCTTTGACCTTTTACATACATCTATTGTATTCCTTTAATAAAGTTGTTTGATGCCTATTTGAAATATACAAGTAAAAATGCATTTTTTATTAGAGTGCTTTCTTTATATACGCTGTATTCAATGTGTTCTTATTTTTTTTTTCTTATATATGAACCCTTTTTTGCAGAAAGTGGTCAAGGAAGATGGAAGTGTCGTACCTGAATTTGCAGACGCTGAAGAAGGTGGTTTATTCTTTCAATTAGATTAAATTTGACTATTTTGAAAGTTCTCCCAATTTTTGAGAGTTAGGCTTTTGAATCCTTTTTATGATTTTTCATGGTCGTTCTAAAGCTACAGTTATTTCTAATAAAAGTTTAGCTAACTTTTTTTCTTTCTAGTCATTTCAGTTTAACTCTTAAGTTCTGGCTTCTTGGTGCTTCCTCTTTCTTCATGGTACTGGCCAAACCATCTCATACCATGTCCTACTGCCTTATTCTAACTATGATTAACCCATTTTTTTCTAATTAATTTATTTAAAAATTTTCTGCCTCTGTTTTTTTGACCGAATGATTTATCACTCTTCTCTCTCTTTTGTACTATTAATTAATTCATTATGCCATTTTTGTAGTTCGGCTATCACAAACCACTCTGAAATAGTCTGACCACTTGATCATAATAGTTGATCTTTTCAATGATATTCTCATGTATATAATAATATTCTTTTTTTTTTTGCATAATAAATTAAGATACCTAAATCTCACACTTGTTTCACCCATTTCTGTTTAGGAATATTTACACGTGTACCTCTGACATGTTTCTTATTTGTTTAAAGTTAATACCTTATGTTCAAAATGACCAACTTAACCTATTCATTTGTGTAGTGTAAACTAAATCATAAAGTATTTAGCAAATCATTGAGAATGAAGTGTCGTAGTACTGTAAATAGAAGCATTTGGTGTCAGTTTTGTAATACGATTGGTGGTTAATTATCAACTTTATGTCCATTAAATCGCATGATTTATATGTTTATATTCTTATGTTTTCTCACCTATGTTAAATTCTTGTTCCATTCTTAATTTCATTTTGTAAATTGCCTGGATGAATATACAGTTAGAATGTAAGGATAATGACGATGACTTTCAAATTATAATCATAACAGTTTTTATTTGCAGAGAAATTATACGAGTTTCTCAAACTTCAGCTTGAGAGTGATCTGAAACTTGAAAGAAGTAAGTTTCACACTTAAATTTCGAGCCCTTTTGTATGCAATTGAACTGTCAGCTTAATTGGATGTTCTGTTTCCTTCATTTATATTTTATCATGAAAATCTTTTAACGTTTAACTGTATATGATTTACGCAAGCTAAAAATTAATCATTGTTCTTTTTCTTTCTGTTTCTTTCCTTTTACCCTTGACCATGATGGTGTGACTGGGATTAATTTGGGTGAAACAAGGAGAAAACAATAAAGCTCAATTTGAAAATGGCGTTTGCCACATATAGTTAGACAACCCAAAAATGTCATAATAATACTAGATTTTGCAAAATTATATTAAAAAATTCCATCAAGTGTGAATTGATATAGTAAGGTGTTTCGGGAATTATTTTTAAATGCTTATGATTATCTGCTCATCCTAAATGCTAAATGGAAACAGCTTGAGTTAACTGCCGTAAGTTATTCCCTGAAAGGTTCTGGTTTTTAATTGTTTTGATTTCTTGAATGATCTTTTGATGGCGTCGAACAGCCTTCTAGTTTAGATCACCCATTTGTTGTTTGTGTTCAATTTTGCATCATAAGGCTTGCAAGTCATTTTATTTATTATTTTGGTTAGATTCTTCTGTCTTTGTATTGGATTTGCAATAATAACATTGAACATTGTTATCTTGAGATTCACTTGCGAGACTTGTGGGTATTTTTTTTTTTAACCATATAGATCAATTTTGCTATGATGATTATTATGATGACTTGAAATTTACATTTGTGTTTCAATTTAGTGAAATGTGCAGTTATTTGAATTTCTGTTATGAGATTTTTTTTTTCTTGTAGCTATCTCTTCTATATGTTTTTTTTATTTTATAGGAACGTTCAGGTGGATTTTTTCACGTAAATATGATTCTCCTTCTATTTCTGTTAGCCGACTCCTAGATCAAGTGAGAGATTTAAAATTTATGAGAGAGGCTCTCTTCTTGTATAAGTGTGAAACTTGAGTCCTCTTATTATTCTCTACGTCTTGTTCTTGTTGTTGTACAACAATATTGATTTTATTCAAGTTATGTAACTTGGGTTTGTAAAATTGCATGGTTTATTCAAAAGTGATAAATATCTCCTAAAATTAAGTGTTTCTAACCTGCATAGTTTTGTGTAGGTGTTGCATGGTTTTATGCCTCTTGTAACATATGTTCACTAGAAGTCCTAGGCCCTAAGAAGTTGCATATCAATTTTGAATATTTTTTTTTTCATAAGAGAGAAATTGTTTAGTTTGCCTTGTTTAAGATGTTTGATTAGCTGGTATTGAATCATAGTTATTTCTTATTAGCAAATTTTAAGTAGAATGCTAAGAAACTCAATTATTTGGTTTGATATCAAGTTGAATTTGAGTTAGCCCCTTGCACGCTAAATTTTTTAGTTAGGGTTTGCTTGAACTAGACTTTACTTGATTGACTGTGTTGAAAATAAAATATCAAAATTTCAGTTATATTTATATATATATATGCATTTAAGTTACCACCAAAAGTATCCTTGACAAAGGCTAAAGGAACAATGAATTAGGGTAAAGAGAGATGGAAGAGATAAAAGAAGAGTTGAAGAAGAGAGGGATAGAAAAATAGAAGATAGAAATAGAACGAGGAATAATAAATAAAATGATTCAAATTTCTCAGTCAGTCATGCGTATGTGTTTAATGATTACAACTTTAAAAAGCCGTTTTATAGACATCTAAGCAAACGAATGCTTAACCAAAAATAATCCTAGGGATAACGACATCCTTATTATCTACTATATAATCTTAAAAGAGATGCAGATAAGTAAATGAAATAAAGGAGACATGCAATCCTAAATCTATATCATAAGAGGTTTGATGTTTTGCGGACGTGAGCTTTGCTTAAAATTCACCTTTCAGGCTCTTCGAAATTTGGGACTCTTACTCTAAAGGGTTTGATTCAAATCAATTCGAGTTATTTAATAACAAGGCATATATATTACTTTAAGTTTCAACTAAGCAGTATCTCTCATGAAGGCTAGAGGAACTCAGAATTAGGGTAAAAAAAGAAAGAAGAGATTAGAGTCAAGATAGAGTAGAGATAAGGGAAGAGAAGAAGATAGAGATAGAGTAGGAGGGGGGAATTGAGAGAGAAGGAAGAATAGGTAAAAAGAATCAACTTTTCTTATTCAACTAAGCATATCTAATAATAACCTAAAGAAGCCTGCTTAGCAGTGGTAGAGCCATGATGGTAAAGCCATATCTAATTTAGTTTTACTTTTTTTGAACTTTGAACTTAAATTTCTTTTTCTTTAAAAGTTGTCTTTGACTTCAATTGACTTAGTTCGTTAGTTTTAAATTCCTAGAAGTTTTAAATTCCTTAGGTTATTTCATATAATATGTCCAGTGAAGTTTTGTTTAAAGTGTTCGAGAGGTCCTTGCTTAAGACATGTTTGATCATGAGAAAACTGGGTAGAGTTCAATAGTTTGCGAGGAGATGAAAGATGGTGATTTTCGCATAACATATAAAGATTTATAGGAGTTCCTTATTTTCTTTTTCTTTTTTTCTTTTTTTGTATGTTTCATTTGTCTATTATAATATCATTCATGCGATGTAACGGACTCTGTCAGAGGGGAAGAATATATCGATTATTCTTTTACCTTTGATTACGAAGAATCCCAAACCCCGTTTCCATTCTTCCATACTTTTGAGAGCTTAGCTTTATGAAACACTTAGTTAATATTATAATGTGCTCATGGATACTATAAATATGTAGATTCAAGGCCACTTTTTCTCAGAGATGTGTGTGTGGATTTGTTATGAAAATGCAATAAAATGAATATACAATCCTAAATGTAGAACTTTTGAGGTTTGATGTCTTGCATCAATCCTCTCTTCCTCAGTATGCTCTATATTTGCAATCTATTTCTTTTCAAAATTATTTATGAAAATTTTCTTGTATCGTAATTGAGGAGCATAGATATTTATTATGCTCTTGTCAATATTTAACTTAATATCAGTTTCGCATGGATAGTTCTACTGTTTAAGACTATCACACCCTTTTTTCCCTTTTGTTAAACTTCACTATAGTCAAAATAAGATTGACTATAGTGACCTTAGCACCCTAAATGAAAATAAAGATTTTTGTTTTTATCGACGTATTAGTAAAACCGAAGTTAGAGAGGGTTTAAAGAAAATGAACGGGTGGAAAGGCTATTGGACCTGATGATATTCCAATAGAGGTGTGGAAATGCTTAGGAGATTCTTGGCTTACAAAACTTTTTAATACTATTTTGAAGACTAAAAAGATGCCAGATGAGTGGTGAATGAGTGTGTTAATTCCTATTTTTAAGAATAAAGGTGATGCACAAGATTGTGCGAATTATAGAGGAATTAGTTAATGTGTCATACTTTAAAAACTATGGGAGCGAGTTATGGAGCATAGGTTGCGTCGTGATACTATGTTTCTTAAAAATCAATTTGGATTCATGCCGGGTAGGTCAACTATGGAAGCCATACATTTATTAAGAGGTTTGATGGAGAAATATAGAGAAAATAAGGAGGATCTACATATAATATTTATTGATTTAGAAAAAGCATATGATAAAGTGCCAAGAGAAGTGCTATGGAGAGTTCTTGAAAAGAAAGAAGTTAATAATGCTTATATTCAAATCATTAAAGATATGTATGCAGGAGCTATTACTTGTGTTCAAACACAAGATGGTTTGACCATTATTTCCTGATTTCGGTTGGGTTACATCAAGGATCAGCCTTAAGCCCATATCTTTTTGCTTTAGTCATGGATGTTCTCACTAGACATTTGCAAGAGGATGTACCTTGGTGTATGCTTTTTGCTGATGATATTCTTCTTGTTGATAAGACTTGAGAGGGAGTTAAAAGTAACTTGAATTATGGAGGTCAACATTAGAGACTAAAGGTTTTCGCTTGAGTAGATCTAAAACGGAATATATGGAGTATAATTTTAGTAGTAATAGACCTAGTGAGGGGACTGTGACTTTGGACGATCAAGTCATTAATAAGAGTACATGTTTTAGATATCTTGGATCTATTGTTCAGAGTGATGGTGAAATAGATGGGGATATTACAGCATAATTCAAGTTGGATGGTTGAAGTGGAGGAATGCATCGGGCTTGTTGTGTGATAGAAAAGTACCCCTCAAACTTAAGGGAAAATTCTATAAGATGGTAGTGAGGTCTGCAATGCTTTATTGTGCTGAATGTTGGCTATTAAAAGAGAAGCATAATACTAAGTTAAGTGTGACAGAGTTGAGGATGCTCAGGTGGATGAGTGGCTTTACCTTAGAGATATGGAATACAAAATGTGCATATACGTGAAAAGGTTGGAGTAGCTCCAGTAGAAGATAAGATTAGAGAGAGTCGCCTTAGATGGTTTGGTCACATAAAACGACGGTCTTCCAATGACCCGATTAGGAGAGTAGAGGTATTAGATTTGACTTATGTTAAGAAAGGTAGAGGTAGACCTAAAAAGACTTGGTTAGAAAATATTAGGAATGGCCTTTCTTTATTAGATTTAAACGAGAATTTGACCTTTAATAAGACACAATGGAAAAAAAAGATTCATGTAGCCGACCCCACGTAGTGAGATAAAGGCTTGATGTTGTTGTTAAACTTCACTATATACAATAGTTTAAAGCCTTCGCCAATATTATAGCATTCTTCCATTTTCATTTATCCTTTAGCAAACACATGATATTAATTTTTTTTTTCAAGTCATTGTGTTAACTGAATCTCTTACCTTTCTGCTCAAACTTGTAAATTTCCATGTAGAAAATCTAATTAATTTGTTTTAAACTCTTAAATTTTTTATTTTCTTTGAAAACATTATTTACTGTGGTTTTGCCCACGCAAGGCAATCATTGATTATCATCCGCCTTTACATTTTCCTTGAGTTGGTTTAATTAATCAACTTTCATTCTTTTGATAGCTGCATTTTGTGCTCAATCTAGCTTAGCTAATTTCTTTTGATTGAGTTCATTCAAGTATAAATAATCTTTTTTATTGTAACTTACTTTTTTTTGACAGTTCGGCATTATGAAGTGGTTTATCTAATTCACGAAGATCATATTGAGGAGGTTGATAATGTTGTTTCCAAAGTTCAAGGTGCCATATTTCTTCAATATTGCTCCTTCACTAACTTCTCTACCATAATGATAATTAGGATCATTTACATAGCTGCGCACAACTATGTATATCGATGCCAATTGTGGGCTCCTGATTGGTTGGGTGAACCTCAAGCATTTTCCTCATCGGCACCTAATAATCTATAATTTTTGCTGGTGTTTGATTGTTTGTTCATCTCTTGTTGTTGCAAGACTTCATAAAAGAGAAGAAGGGAAGGCTTTGGAGACTGAATAATTGGGGGCTTCGTAGATTGTCTTACAAGATTAAAAAGGCAAGCAAAGCTAATTATATTCTAATGAATTTTGAGATGGAAGCGAAGTGGATTAATGACTTCAAGAGCATGCTTGATAAGGATGAGCGTGTCATTAGGCATCTGGTGATGAAACGAGATGAAGCAATCACTGAGGATTGTCCTCCCCCTCCTGAATTCCACACTGTTAAAGCAGCTCAAGGAGTAGATACCGATTATGATGAAGAAGAAGATGGCGATGATGAATTAGGAGTGGAAGCTGATGGTTTTGAAGATGTTGATGATGATGATTTTGGCATTGACGGTGAAGTTAGTAGTCCGAAGAAGCTGGAGAAGATGACAAGGTAGTTTGCTCATTTTCTTAGGGGAAGATAAACCTGCTCATTGTCAGTGCTAGTTAGCTTGTTAGATGACAAGGATTGCTTAAGACATGTAGAAATCCTTCCCTTAACAATACCTGTGTTGTGATGTTCAGTGTTAGCAAATTATTTTTAATTTATTTTCATAATCATTCTATATTTGTTGTAGTTTTCTTTATTTTGTAAAGTGGGATCTAAATGTGTTTGAGAAAGATAGAGAGAGATAATTGTCTACTGGTTCATCTTTTATGTTATTAGAAAAGATATTGAGAATTATTTCATTAAAGGTTTTATTTGGGATGATTTTTTTACTATTTTCTAAAGCAATTTTTTAGAATAAAAATATCTTAAATTATGAAATTTTATGATAGAAAGTTGCTTCAAAAAAGTAATAAGAAAGCTGTCCTAAATGATGCTTTAAGTTTATTTTGAGATGGCTCCAATTTTTTTATAAATGTGATCATAAAAATATTGTGAAGAAAATATGTTTTTAAAAGTGATTATAAAAAGCAATTTTCTTACCCACAAATTTTTTGAAGATAATAGAAAAAGGAATGATGAAATAAAAATTTTGATTGTGGTCTAAAAAATTTATCTAAAATGAAATTTTAATTTCTCATTATTAAAAAGTATTGTTATTAGGACTTGTTATTAAAGATATGTACAGAGATGGCACTATTAGAGTTAGGAATTTTTCTCCTAAACACTTGTTATTATTAACATCATTATAGTAAAATTTGCATTGAAAGTAAACAATATGTTCTCATAAATTAGTATATATATATTGCAATTTTTTCTATTTTATTTTCAATTTATTTGTTCTTGGTGATTGAATTAAGTCTTGCTTATTTAATCTTTGTTTTAATAATTTAGAAAGTGATAATTTAATCTGAGACAAATATTCTATTAATTTAATTTTTAATATAAAATTGGGCTTATTAAATTTTAATGCATCTATGATTAGCTTATATTGGCATTCTAATAATCACCAACTAATTAATTAATTTCCCACTAATTGATTAATTCACATCTGTTAAGCTTTTCTCAAAGTACAAAGATTAATTCCCTAAATCAATTCATTATTATTTCATGTCAATAATGAAGTATTTAGATTAATTAATCCTTTTACAAACCAAACCTGTATTTGCAGGTTGAAGGGGTGTCTCTGTAATTTAAGTTTCGAAAAAGTATGTGAGGATATAATAAAAAGGTTTTTAAAGGACTATCACGCAACAATACCTAATCGATTACAGATGAGGTCTACCAGCCGTTAGATCTATCTCCAAGTCAGCGATCCGCGAGGGGGTTCCACAACAAACGGCAGAGGTTCTCCGATGGGGAGGCCATCCTGCTGCCCTAATTCGTCTATTGCTTGCATGTTCTTGCGTTCTTCGGCAGCCGTAATTTCCTTTCGAGTTTAATTTCAAAATATCATTTTTTTATTAGCGAGCGAGGAGCAGCAGGGGATAAAGATGAAGGCTGCTGTGGAAGACGGGAAGGAGATAGAATTGATTAGGAAGAAGAGGTTGCAAGAAGTGAAGATGGTGAACGAGGAACAAGTCGGGGATCTGAAGAGTGATTTGAAAGAAGAAGAGGTGAAGGAAGAGATAGAGGACGAGGATGGAGATGCTGATGAGGCGTTGGAGGGAGATGATGTTGATGAAGACGATGAGGAGGAGGAGGAGGATAGCGATGTGGAGGAGGTGCCAGCGCCGAGGGTCGGGAGCGCGCCTGTGTACACGGTGGATTCTGATGATGATGATGAGGAAGAAGAAGAAGAGGAGGAGAACGGGGGTGATGGGGATGATGGAGATGGAGATGATGACGATGAGGAGGAAGATGATGGCGGTGATGATGATGATGATGGCGGAGAGGAAGATGATGAGGAGGTAAATATTTTACTTCTTTTTTTTTTTTTCTAGCAAGAAGGATCTCTAGGGTTTTTCAGATCTGTTAGCTTTCAAGCAACGTTTTTTTTTTTTTTTAATTTAATGAGGGAGATTACTGTTTTCAATTATAAATGACAGCGGTAAGATTTTTTTTTTTTTTCTGCATATATGTTTGTTTATGGGTTAGTGGTTGCAATTGTAGATGTTTTAAATTTGTCAATTTTTTGTACATTTTGATGCCTAGCTATGTTTATTATTTTTAATGATTTTTAAATTAAACTTATTCTAAATTTGTAAAATAACAAAGGCTTTAATTGAATCGATTCATTTATTTGTTTACTAGTGCTGCATGGTAAATCTCAGAGTGTTCAATCTGAAAATTATCTGGATCTTTATATCTTTAATATGAGCCAGTGTTTGAAACTATTTGGATTGTGGTAAGAAAATAAGTGTATTAAGCTATTTGGATTAGATCTGTGAGGTGATTTGAAGAACAATAAAAAAAATTTCTTAATTGAAATCAAATAGTCTTTTAGATAAGATCAGTGTCTGTTGGTTTTATTTATGTTAATTAGTTCATAACTATATTAACTAGAAATTACTTACTTAGTTCTACAATAGTTCTTTGTTAGACTTTGGTCCTCTAATAATTTTATATTGATTTATTACAATATTGAACAACCCATATAATTAGTGATAAATAAATTTTTTTGGGGTACTTTTGAATCAATTAAGGCAAACTTATACACATCATATATGCAAGCTTTGAACTCAAGATTTTTTGGGTTGGTAGCCCAACAGATTACTGTGAGCTCCATAACCTTAAGATAAAAAAATTTTAGATATCTGAATTGTTGTATGTTTCACATCCTGCATACTTCGTTTGTTGTCTTTTCTGAATCAAGTAAACAATATATCTTACTTAAAAGTAGCACAGGAAGCTGAATAAATGCTCTTGTAAGGCTTAATTGTGCTTTTTTTATGGCATGTTCTCAAATTTCTACATTTATTTTCCACTTATGTTTTAGTTGTTTCAATATAATTTTTATCACTAAAATAAATTTAAAAATCTTGAATGAATCTATCTATTCCATGTCAGCTAAGTCATGCCGGTTGAATTATGCCATTTGTTTTGTGGCAATAAAAAAAATAGTTAACAAGCTATTTAAGGTAGTATTTGAACCCTCACCTTTGGATACAGTTAAATATTTTTGCTAGTATAGTTGCTATATATTGGCCTCATTTTTAGTACATTTCTTTACTTGATTTGGCTGTGACAGCTATAAAGCAACAAATGTTATTTGTTATTTGCGACCACCCATTTTTCTTGTCTGTTGAGATCTGGAATGCCAATTCGTTTTTAACTTACATGTGAAGTTTTGGTGATCTTTCCATTCTAATCTTTTTAATCCAAAAATTTAACAGTTTGTCTATCCCAATCCAATTATTCTTGAAGTTGGCTGCTTTTGTACACGCCAAAAGTGTTTTAATTTTTAGGGAATTCCACTGGAATCTTGTTAGATTATTCTTCTGAGTACAAGCTTGTACCCATTTTTTTGGGTAAAATGCTTCATATTAATGTCTCTGTTTTGTTGCAAGTTTTAGCCTGTGTTTTCTTTTGCAAGATTTAGCCTTGTTTTAGGCTAACTCTTAACAAATATATTTTGAGCCACATAAATCTTATTAGTTTTCTGAAATATTGTTTTCTTCTCATTTTTAGACTAAATCTAAGATCTGTTAAATCCCAAGATTAGTAGGATTAACTGTACTCAATCTGTTTCATGAAAATTCCAAACTTGGATTTAATTAGATTTCTCATTTATCATGCCAAGTTCTTTTTATGATTTACTAAATCTGCTTGAATGAAATCCTACTCGAAGCCAAACAGGCGCTAAAAATGACCTTTTGCCAAACATGGAGATTGACTAAGCTCCACTTTTACAGCATCTTCGTTTCTTTCCAGTCAGATATATTGTTTATTTGTTTCAGTTTCTTCCACAATCTCCTTTCTTTAGCCCATTTTAATGATTCACCTTTTCATTCTTAAAGGAAACGGGAACAGATTACCTTGTTCGACCTATAGCCCGTCCTGAAGATGAAGAGGATGCAAGTGATTTTGAACCTGGAGAAGAGAATGGTGAGGATGATGACATTGATGAGGAAGATGATGATGGTGAAACTGGGAAAGAGGGGCCATCTGCAAAGAGGAAGAGGTCACAGAAAGATGATGATGATGATGATGATGATGATGATGATAGTAATGATGATGATGATGATGAGCGGCCATCAAAAAGATAGATTTCCTTGGGAGGCTGCAGCTTTCCAACGCTAGACTGCATTTTTCTTGAAAAAAAAAAGAATATTTGGACAGTTATTTGCTTTGGTAGTCATGTACAAGTTTAGGAAAAGTTTAGACCCTTTTGATGCAGGGTTTCAGTTATTTGTCATTAATTGAGACAAACCGTTTGACTGTTTATCTTCTTTTTATAAGTTTACTGTTAGTTTGATGATTTAGTGGGATAAAAATTTGTTGTTGTTGTTACTGTTTTAGTTTCTCTGCAGAGGAGAGTCATAGTCTCATAGATTATCCAAGCTGAATATTCTGTCAAATGCAGCAAACTGATTGTTGTCATTTTGTGTTTTAATTGGTTAAGAACAAAACCGGTTTTATTGTTCATCTTTCTGCATTCAGCAAACAAACTTGCGAGCTTTTTCATCATTGCAGCATTACTTTCTGTTCTGATGAAAAATCTGAATGAAATTTGTATTATTGTCAAAGTTTGATGATTGTATGGTATGCGATGTGACATATGTTTTCCGGAGTCATTCATATCCAATAGTCTGAAGAGTTGTTTCTTGAGCAATGAATTCTATTACTGAAAAGCCTGTCACCTGTGGAAAGAAATAATACCAAAATTGGTTGAGTGGCAGCTATGGAATAGTTGCTGGGCTGTTTAAAAAAAGCTTGGCATTCGTTTCCTCTTATGTTGGTTTTGACATTTAATGCATATTTGTTTAGATAATGCCACATGTTACGCATACCTTATATAGCATATATCATGGTCTTGATGATTGTTAAGGGAAATGACATGCATTAGTTCTTGGATTAATTATTTTATGTGGGTGTCGAATGTTGTTCGGAAATCAATTAGAACGTGACATGTCATCCAATGCTCGGTACTACAGTTTGATATTGCTGATGTGGTGTATTATGATTGATCTCCGTATGAGATTCTACATTCGGTCTCCGCCCAGAATAATTTCTCCAGTTCTTGACGTTGTCGGTTTAAAAATTATCATGTATCATGATGATTCCTCTAATCATATGTGGTATATGGATATGATGCATAATTTCCTACATGTAATATTATGAGATAGCAATATATATATCATATGATGTGCATGATACAAATGAATGATTTTGCATCTAAGTATGTGCATAATAATATGTCAAATAGTTAAACATGTTTATGGATAATATATTAATTTTTATTTTACAGTTTTCTTAAAGAAAATTAAAAGATATTTTCTGGCATATTTTGTATATTTTTATTTAACGTGATAATAATTAGTATAAGATTGATTTTATGTCTGTTGATAGATATAATTGATTAAATATATTTTTTTATTTTGCTATTTAGAAAACTATGCTCGAAATTTCATTATGTCCGAGAGCAACGCTCGCGAGTCACCGTACCGCTGATGGGTGGGTGTCGTCTTGCTTCAATCGAGCCAAGCCCGCAGAAGAGAAAAGATCGCTGCTTGCGTTAATTTCCGGTGAAGAGAGGCGATATTTCGGCAATCGATCCACCATGTTGGAGCTGCGATTGGTGCAGGGAAGCCTTCTTAAGAAGGTGCTTGAAGCAATGAAAGACCTTGTTACCGACGCTAATTTCGATTGCTCGGCGACGGGGTTCTCGCTTCAAGCCATGGATTCAAGCCACGTCGCCCTCGTCGCTCTTCTCCTTCGTTCCGAGGGCTTCGAGCACTACCGCTGCGATCGCAACATTACCATGGGGATGAACCTCAACAATGTCTCTAAACTCCTCAAATGCGCAGGAAACGATGATATCATCACCATCAAGGCTGATGACGGCGGAGATACAGTCACCTTCATGTTCGAAAACCCTAGTTCGTCTTCTTCTATTCTAATTAATTTCTCTTTAACACCTCTTTTGTGATTCGATCGATGATTTTGATTGGCGCAAAACAGAACAGGACAAGATCTCTGATTTTGAAATGAAGCTTATGGATCTTGATAGCGAGCACCTCGGGATCCCGGATGCCGAGTACCACGCCATTGTTCGGATGCCTTCGTTGGAGTTTTCGAGGATATGCAAGGATCTAAGTAGCATTGGAGACACAGGTATTGTCAACTGATTCATCGATCGAAGGGTTTCTCTTTTCTGAAAAAAAAAAAAAAGGATTTTTAGCGATTTTGATTGTTATTCTGTGTAGTTGTGATATCGGTGACGAAGGAGGGAATCAAATTTTCCACAAGGGGAGATATAGGAAATGCGAACATTGTTTGCAGGCAGAATACCACAGTTGATAAGGTAGGTATATTATCACAACTAATCGCATATTATAGAGCTTTATTTGAGTTTGTTCACTAGCTTTAAATTTAAATGGTATTATTCATGATCATAAATGAATAGAGTTCCAAGTTATTCGAGTTTATTTATTAATTACTTATTTATAAAAATATTTAAATTTATTTGATTAGTTAATTAAACAATCATGAATTAGTATGTGAATGTCTAATAGTTAAGTTGTATTTCTCTTTTAAATTTATTTGTATTTTTTAATAATTTGTTATATTATGAGATAAGTCACAACACGGGAAATTAAGAACACTTGATAAATTTACGCTTCATTTGAGACATTTTTAGACTTTTTTTTACTTTCAAGAAATTTTTGTATTGAAAAGCTGCATTATAAAACAATGAGAAAGAAGTCACAAACAAAGCCGTAATCACATCCTAATTTCAAATTTGATTTTTTTCCATTAATAGAATTAGTGATTGGGCTGTTTTTATTATTATTATTCATTCTTAATAATCATAGTAAACAATAGTGAGAGGTTGGTATCCTATTGTATGAAGGATTTAAGCAAGCTTTAGCTTAAATCTTATCAAATTGAATTGTGCAGGTTTTAAATTCTATTGTTTTATAAACCCTTTACAATCACATTATTAATTAACTTTGATATATTTCATTTCAACTTTATTAATTAAATTCATGATTTATTAAATTATCCTATTCACAGAATTAAGTATATTTAAAGATTTCTCTCATACAAATCTTCAAATTTGAGATAAATTTAACAAATTTTATCACAATAATAATTCTACTAATGATAATAATATAGTATTATTTGTTCTTTGATGCTATTTATGCACAATCTTTTTTTAACTTAATTACTCCAATTAATTATGAGAACTGGATATACATCCTTCTATTAACTTTTATTTTTTATGGAGCAGCCAGAAGAAGCTACTGTAATTCAGATGAATGAAGCAGTATCGTTGACATTTGCATTGAGATATTTGAACTCCTTCACAAAAGCAACATCCCTCTCAGAGACTGTGACTATAAGCCTTTCTTCAGAACTCCCTTTGGTTGCAGAATACAAGATTGCTGATATGGGCTATATTAAATTTTATCTGGCGCCCAAGATTGAAGATGATGAATGAGTAGATCAAACCCTATGTATTGATTACTCTTTTCACCTCTTCAAAAAAATAAAAATTTTACTTTTATTTACTTATAACTCACAGTTCACACTTCACACTTCTTCAAGTGTTGTTTTTTTAACTTATTTTAAGAATTACTTGTTACATAAGAGCAAACATGTCAAAGTCTAATAGATGTGTGAAATTTTGATTATAAATGTTGCTTCTAACTCTTATTTTATTCTTTTGTTATAAGTAATCTTATATTTAGTCTCATGTGCTTTTTAGTCGGATTTGTTTATGGTCAAATCGCAAACACATCAGTTTTTTTTTTTTTGTTGCATATCAGTAGATTTTATTGTCTAAAATGGTTTCTTGACAAAGCTATTCAACCTATATTCTACAGTATGATTACCTTTTATGACTAATCAAAAAACAACAATTTCACAAAAAACTTTAGAGGCAACATGTTTTTTAACAAATTTTTTTATTCAGACTATTATGCTGCTGTTTAAAGAAAAAAAAGTACAACTTTGAGCTTTATTTAGGATTTTGCAATGAAAAACTTTAAGAAAATATATAATTTTGTTATAATATTTCCATGGTCATAAATACTAGGGTTTATACTAAAACAAAATTGAGAAAATGCCATTGTGATACTCTGTATAAAAATCCATTAAAAAAATGTACAAAACTCCAGACGAAAACCATCAATCTAAGCTTTTGCATTGTTAAAATAAAAAAAAAAAAAATGGCGATACTAAGTTCGGAATTCCGCTCAAAACAATGGAGAAGATCTGTAAAAAATGAGCTCGGATTTCTGAGAAAAATGGAGAATAAAATGACGTGATCAAAGCTGTCTCCAGTTCTCTCCAGCATACACAGCTTGACTTCCAAGTTCTTCCTCGATCCTCAGCAACTGCAGCCAACAAAAAAAAAATTAAAGTTTTCAGCGGGCAACATGATTGTGACTATGGATTCTTGAAAAAACTCAAACCAACTAAGTTCTATAGGCACATAATACGACCTCAATATTGTTACTTTTAGGCTCACTGAAAATGAATTTTTTCCATTCATTCATGTTAAGTGCAACTTGTGTTAAAACAAGTTATCTTTTTGCATAACTTCTATCCGTATAAATTTTAGTCAAATATATCTTTTTCTTTTCTTTTCTTTTTAATCCTTTCATACTAATTTTAACAATCCACTATATTGGTGCATTACCTATCCTCTATTATACCTGTAGCATGCTAGGAAATTCAAGGCGGTTGCGAGAATTTAATGTATTAATATTATACAAAGATCCAGCATACATACAAATAAATAAAAAATGTAAAGACATTTGAGTTTTTATGTTAAGCGTCCGCACACAGACACACGCCCGCATCAAATGACATCTTTAAAGTTCTTAGAAAAATGTTGCACCTTGAGCCAAAATGCCCAAGTGAAAGAGGAGATCATGAGCCGCATAAAAGTCGATGGGGCGTTGCACAATCCGAACGGCATGACCCGCCATTCATAGAGACCATGACGAGTTTTGAAGGCGGTCTTCCACTCGTCACCAGGCCGAATTCGAATTTGGTGGTAGCCGCTCCGAAGATCAAGCTTGGAGAAGATACTAGCGCCCGCCAACCTTTCTAACAGCTCTTCCAACCGTGGTACTGGAAATCGGAATTTAACTGTGATTTTGTTAATGGCTCGGCTGTCCATACACATCCGCCAGCTTCCGTCTTTTTTAGGAACCAATAGCGCGGGCACTGCGCAAGGACTGAGGCTTGGTTGAATCAGCTGATTCTTCAATAGATCATCAACAAGTTCCTGTAGAATTTGATGCTCTGTTGGACTCAGACGGTGATGAGGTAGATTCGGTAACGTTGATCCAGGCACGAAATCAATTTGGTGCTGCAACGAGTGTAGAGGCGGTAAGGTAGTCACGGCATCAGTTAACACATCCTGGAACTGTTTCAGCAAATTCCCTATCAGCTCTTGTTCCATGGCCTTGTCATATGATGAGTTATGATCGGGTGCGGATTCCCGAATAATTAAAGCAAATAGAGGTGCATTCTCCTTGCAGGAAGCTAGCAAACCATTCCCTGTTACTACATGCAGTGCTGGACGGGCTGACTCCTTTTTTGAATCTACTGTGGAGGAATGTGGCAAGAGACGAAGTCGTTTTCCCTTCCATTCCAAAGTGTATGTATTGGCCCGTCCGTCATAGATGGCACCGACGTCAAACTGCCATGGTCTACCAAGAATTAGGTGACAGACGTCCATTTCCACGACGTCACACAACACCTCACACACATAGTGTTTTCCGATAGAAAAGTGCACTCGGCATGTTTCAGTAATTGAAATTTCCATTCCTTTTTTAACCCAGCTAATCTTGTATGGCTGGGGGTGTTTGGTCGTCTTTAGTTGTAGGGCTTGCACGACCGCCTTGGACACCACGTTTTCGGTGCACCCACTGTCCACTAGAAGATCACAAACCTTGCCGCCAATGGTGCATTTCGTCTTGAAGATGCAATGTCGCTGCGACTGAACAACCTTACGTGGGGCTAGTAATAATTTCTCAAGCACACAGATTAATGGCTCACCGTCATCGGCAGTGACGTCTTCAACTTCGACTTCTTCCTCGAACAATTCGTTCTCCTCCTCGCCTTCACCCTCCAAGAGTTGCAATTGTTGGCGGTTTGGGCACTCATTTGATTTGTGCCCTGGTTGAAAGCATCGGAAGCACTTGAGACCTTGTGGTCTCGGATAAGGATTCTCCTTCCCGGGAAACTTGGGCTTAACTGGTGCTTTGGGATCAGAAAGAATTTTCAGTGGTTGTGAATTTCCGCTACCCTCAGCTGCTACGGGTGTCTTACGCATAGCTGATCCCGATGGTTTTGCTAAATCTATTCCAGTTTCCGCATTCTGCTTGCGATAGGTACCGCTTCTTGAGTGCCGCCCCAACTGAATTTCGGCCTTGAGGGCGAAATTCACAGCCTGCGAAAGTGACCACACTGAACTTAATTCCAGTTTATCCTGGATGCTCTCTTTTAGACCGCCTATGTATCTGGCTACGAGCTGGTTTGACGTCTCGTTCAAATCATTCCTTGCCGATAGACTATAAAATTCTTCGGTGTATTCGCTCACTGAGCGATTACCTTGAGTGCAGTGTTGATATTTCAGGTATAGCATTTGTTCGTAATCGGTCGGAAGGAAATGCCCGCGTAGCAATTGCTTCATTCTGCTCCAACTGCGGACTGGTCCGCGGCCTTCCCTGCGACGGCACTGCAGTAACTGTGACCACCATGCGCTAGCTCCGCCTTTGAGTCTACACGCCACGTATTTGACCTGCTTTTCCGGTTCGATCTCCATATAATCGAAGAAGTTCTCAACTGACCGCTCCCAATCTAAATAGTCTTCAATATGCAATCTCCCATCGAAAAACGGAATGTCCAGCTTCACTCTAAACTCGCCCTGATGTCTATCTCGTCCAGCATAACGCCGAGGGCGTCGTTCCGCCAGGTCGACATCCGAATCAGAAAAACCTTCTGGATTGAAAGTATTCTGCTCATCTTCTGAATCTGAAAACTCGGGAATCAATACTGCGCGCCGTCTATTTCGATTCTGAAATGCCCGGTTGTCCTCAGCGGGGGTGATAGTGTGCGGAATCGTTCGTCCGGCTCGGAAAGGAACATCTCCCGTCCGAACAAGAGGTGGTTCGCGACGTAAAGCGGCGGTTAGACGATCTACAGCAGCCGTGAGATCATCCAGCCGTTTCTCGACTCCAGCGTGCGCAGCCCAAAGTGCCTCCAAACTTCGGTTATCCTCGCTCGTCGCACGCTTGCTGGACTCTGCCATCTTTCCAAGCCACTGGCTCTGATACCAAGATGATGTGGTATACTTTGGGAAGAAACAGGTTCACAAACAAGAAAAGGAAGAAGGCAATGTAACAGTAATGGCTTCAGCCAGAAATTGTATTTCTTCAAAACTGCCTCCTCCTTCTTCTCCCGGAGAAGAAAAACAGAAAATGCCATTGCCTAAAATGGCAATAGACAAGCTAGCAGCAAAAGCAAAACTGCAACAAACTACATAAGGAAAAAGCTATTGGTGGAGCAGCCACCACTAACGGTCATGACAGAACATAAACTTAAAATAAGAAAATTAATAGCTGTTAATTAAACTAATTAATGCTTAAGGCAGATAACTAAAGCAGCTCCCACGGCGGCTTGATGCACCGCATCATTCTCCCCCATCAACAGAAGAGTCTGAATCGGATGAAGAAAGACTCGTGCCGGCTACATCGGGTGGATGATATGCAGCGAGATCGCTGATGTTGAAAGTTGACGACGTGCTGTAATGCTTGGGCAAGTCCACCACATATGCGTTGGGATTGATTTGTTTCAGCACAGCGTATGGCCCAATTTTACGTTTGCTCAACTTGGAGTAAGTTCCAGGCGGGAAACGTTCACGCCTAACCCGAATCATCACCAAATCTCCGGGTTTGAACAGGCGTTTTTTTCTTGTTCTGTCTGCATCTGCTTTGTACCTGGCATTAGAATCCAGCAGTTTAGCACGTACCTCGTCCAGCATAGTCGAGAATTGGGCTGTGAAATCAGCCGCAGGTTTGCTGTTGCACTTGGGAAGGACGGCTAAATCCACAGTATGATTGGGGTTTTTCGTATAAACTATGCTGAATGGACTTCGACCGGTTGAACGGTTAGTCATACTGTTATAGGCAAACTCGGCTTGCCCCAAAATTTCATCCCACATTTTCGGATGCTCCTGCACTACACATCGAAGCATATTGCCTAAAGTCCTGTTTACAACTTCAGTCTGCCCATCCGTTTGTGGATGATAAGCTGAACTCAGCTTCAAATCGGTGTTCAAACGCTTCCATAACTCCTTCCAAAAATTGCTAATAAACTTAACATCACGATCCGATGTTAAGCTCCTCGGCAAGCCGTGTAATCGGACTATTTCAGCAAAGAAAATTCGGGCCACATTCAGCGCATCGAAGGTCTTTTTGCACGGTACGAAATGCGCCATTTTAGAGAACCGGTCTACAACTACCATGATCGAATCATGCCCTCGCTTCGTGCGTGGTAGCCCCATTACAAAATCAAGACTTAAATCTTCCCAAATGGTCTCGGGTGTAGGTAATGGCAGGTATACACTGCTAAGCCGTCCCCCTGTTTTGTAACTTTGACACACCGGACACCTCTCAATAAACCTCATAACATCCCGGTGTAAATGTGGCCAGTAGAATCGGGACTGAAGCTGCAGATAGGTGTTGTTCCGCCCTACGTGTGCCGCAAGACCCCCACAATGCACATCCTTGATTAGCTGAGGCCTCCATGAAGATTCAGGAATACACAATTGAGCTCGACGGAACAAAAACCCGTGCCGGATAGTGTACTCCACGCTGGGATTTTCCAGGTGACAAGCTTCCCAAATGTCCTTGAAATCTGGATCAGATGCATATAGATCCTTCAAGCATTCTAACCCTGTGATCTCCGTTTGAAGTTGGGTAAGGAGTAAGTTGCGACGACTGAGCGCGTCAGCGACTATATTCTGTTTACCCGATTTATGCTTCAGTACAAACGAAAATCGCTGTAAGAATAGAATCCACCTTGCGTGCATCCGATTGATGTGCTTTTGCTTGTTGATGAACTGGATTGCTCGATGATCACTGCACAAAACAAACTCTTGATGCAACAAATATGGCTCCCATTGCTTAAGAGCTCGTACCACAGCATACAATTCTTGTTCATATACGCTCCACTTCTGCCGGGACGGACAAAGCTTCTCGCTGAAGAATTCGACAGGCCGACTTTCCTGGCTTAAAACCGCGCCTATCCCAATGCCGGAGGCGTCAGTATCGACATGAAACGGCTTGTCAAAATTGGGTAAGGCTAAGACTGGTGCAGTGGATAAGGCCTCCTTGATTTGTTCAAAGCTGCTCGCCTGTTCTTCACCCCAATGAAGCTGCTTAGATTTCAGACAATCGGTAATTGGAGCCATCACCGAACTGAAATTCTTGATGAAGCGACGGTAGAAATTGGCAAGCCCGTGAAAACTACGAACTTCCGTGAAGGACTTCGGAGTTGGCCAGTTCACGATGGCATCCACTTTCCGCTTATCCACATGTACTCCTGCAGCTGAGATGAAAAACCCAAGGAAATAAACGGTAGAAACACCGAATTCGCACTTACTTGGGTTTAAGAAGAGCTGATTTTGCCGCAGAACGTTGAAAATGTCTGTCAAATGTGTTATGTGCTCGGCCAACGAAGAGCTGAAGACTAGC